TAGCCGGAATGCGCACGTGTCAGACATCACGTTTCGTACGTTATTGGAGGGGGGCACACCAGAACACCGATGTGCCTCTGTTTTTTTTTGCAGGTCATCGATTTGCTAACCGGGGAGCTGGTTGCACCGAAGCAACGTGACCTGAGTCCCTTGCTCAAGGGAATAAGCAGTTTAAAAGTCTTTTCGAATTCAAAGCCTACGTCACACCACAGTGCAGCAATGTCCCAAAAAAGGAAGCTGATCAGATGAACTTCTTTAGGATCTTGACGTAAGACATTGACTGGTATACCAAAGTAGAGTTTGGGGCTATCGATTTTCCATCAGTGCTTTGTAACCGCCAATCTCTCTTCGACTCGGTTTGATCCTAAAGTGATCTTCTTTTCGGATGACCGGTCGCGTTCTGCAATCCTTCCATCTGAGTTTTCGTTTGAATGCCATTCCTTGAGCTGGCTGACCTTAACGGATACTCGGCCTGATGTTTATTTATCATTGTTGCCTCAGTCCTAGCGGCCTTATCAATTTTATCAATCAATCATTCCAAGCACATGAATAATTTTGTTGGATACTGCGATGCTGTGGAAAATTTCTAGTCCGTAATCCTCTCCAGAGAAGGAGATAACAGAGTTTTGCCCCTCATTTTCTCCCTTAATGAATTTTCTGTTGCGCTCAGTGTACACATAACAGCATGTGCCTTCTAATGTTGCCCTCATAACAACAAACAGTGAAAGATATCTTCTGGAGCAATTGTAAGCAGAATGAAATGTGGGTTTTAAATTACCCATGTGCATCATTTATTAGATTATTTCTTTGCAGAAAATAGAAGTAACGAATACCAAGGTGTTCTGAAGCAGCTACGAAGAATGGTAGCTTTCCAACTATGTCGATCAGTATACGTCTCTTTCTACTGATACCGGTTTTACATGACGAAAACTATAAAGTAAACTTATTTACTTTACAACAAAATTACTGCACGAGACGGGTGGTGACTAAGTTTTGCTGCAGTAGTGCACCGCCGCCTTCCTTTGAGGAAATGTTTCTTTGCGTATTTCTCATTTGGACAGCATGCGAAGGATCGACGAACGTACAACCGTTATCCACTCTCGTAAAAGACCTGAAAGGATCTTGAGTCTCTGAGCATCAAACTAAAATGGCATAGATTGCTTCTGGTAAATTGCGCCATTTAAATGGTGAGTTTCCGTGACAATTTCGTGGTCCTGACTCCGGTACTCACGTCTTGCCAGGTAACTGCAAGATTTTAATACCGTGAGTAAGAATAATAATCTCCTATCGCTTCTCTGGATTCATTCGACGCGGTCACATCGCCCCCTTGCTTTCTTAATGTAACTATACATATTACGGTTAAGAGTGTGACGGTGTTGAATGTCTACATGGCCCTAGTGTGACAGAGCCATTAACGACTAACGTGAGCAGCCTCATATGCACCGGTTCGCCTCCAATACTTTGAGTATTACCGTCTTCCCACGCGCATCAGATGTCGTCTCTACAATGTGTGAGTGGCAAACTGCTGTGCGTTGCAAGGAGGGAACCGTGTGGGTCTGGAATCGGATTGGCCGTCTGGCAGACTTCTGAAGAATGTGTATTGAGTCTTCAATGCATGTGGAGATGGTGTGTTCGTGACGTCTTGATGGTACACTGGTGAACAAGACAATGGAGTCAGAAAATAGTCACACGTGACTTCGCTGTCGTATGTCACTAAATACGATCCAGCTGAGTATCAAGTGAACCGGAAGCGCGTTTGTTGATTGTGAGGTACTCAGATGAGATTTACATAAGCGGTCGATGAATTTGTGGTTCTGACGCTTTGAA